AGAAGAAGCAACGAAGCGACGAAAGAGTATAAAATGTATGTTTTATATAAAGTATGAGAGTAATGTATTTTACGCCAAGTAGAAAAGCCATCGGAAAAGTTGTTTGTAATAAGATTTTGAAGAGGGAAAAAACTAAGTTTCACCGTTTGTCTTTTCTGTCAATTTCCACACAATCAAATGCATATATAGAAAAAGTTTTTTTTTAAAGCGAGTCACACTTCCATCTTTGTATGTCTATATGGTTTGCCATTTCGCTCACATTCTTGTTGAAACAATTTATGTACATTGCAACATAATAACGATTTATATTTGTTTTAAAATGAGAAAAGTCTGTTTACTGTATGATCGAATCAAAAAACAGAAACCGTATATATGCAATAAATACACATACACGCGAAAATGTTGAAACGAACGGGATATTCAAAGACCCTCTATCAATTTTTAATGAAAGCACTTAAAGTTGTCGGAATGTAGTTTCTTCTTCGCTTTTGCTTCTGTCTTTTTTGAAAAAAAAAAAAAATGTCTAACTTTATGACGTTTGTGAGAGTTCAATAGTGTTTTATGGTGGTTCCATACAATTTCGTGCGCGCGTGTATGTATGTGTGTGTGAAGTCTTTTCGCGTAAACATTTATCATCATGCGAGACAAGTGGCATTTACAAAACTATTTTTTTTTCATCAGACACCAAATAAAAGTAACTAAATAAAAGTAAAAATCAAAATATGACACTTTCATAGCGCTAGCCATGCGGTTTGTATTCATTCCATTGGCATTTTCAACATGATAAAAATGATTGTTAGTCGTGTTATGTTCAGTCAATGCCATAAATAAATTAAGCGCAGACATAAAAAAAGGTAAAGAAAAAAACACTCCACCAGAAAACATAAATTCAAAACGAATGCTTTTCGTGTCGCCGTTGAAAGAGCAACAAACATTCCAGCGCATGTGTTCTGTTTGCAGTGTTAAATGCGACAAAACGAAATGTGAAAATATATTTTGTTGTGTTATTTACTTGATATAATCACATGGGCAAACAAAACATTTCAGATGTTCCAAGCGGTAATTCTAATGAGATGAAAGAAATAATAACAAAAATATACGTGTACACACGTGTGTGTTGGATCAACGCTGATATATATTTTATTTAAATTGTACCACACCTCAGAATAACATTCCATAGCGTTTTTTCTCTATCGACCGTATTGACGGTAACATAACACATGTCGATTTTCTTCGTTGTGGCGGCCAAAAAGGACTATTTTCTATGAAGGACGCATGTATACGTATTTATGTCAATACAAAAAAGTACACAAAAATATGCACGTCATTCGCTTACCAAAGAATGCGACATAAACGAAAAAAGACGCCAACATCGTAATTAAATAGACAAACAATAGAAATTATCACATAAATCACCGTCGTCTCAGTCATTTTGTCTATTTATTCGTTGTGTATATTTTTCGATCGGATATCGTACGAGAACATTTATTTTCACATTCACATCGAATAATTACCACGTTAATTAATACAATTTATTTAAGTTAAATTTCATTTTAATTGGATTTTGGTCTCGCTCACATTTTTCATGAAAGCACAAAACCAGATTATTGCAGTTAATGCAGTCTTTTCCAATTTTCACACTCTTCCGGAGTTTTCAGCATTTTACATTCATTCATTATCGTTGAGCCTAAAAATAAAATGTTCTAACTTCATAAACACCACCAATTACCACCCACCCCATCCCAAATTGGTGTATATTTCTCAAATATGTACGGTATATCAAAGACGCACAACATGATTGATTCACTTTCAACCGAACATAAATCTATCTAGCTGAGAATCCGATTACCATACACACATACACGTAACATGAATCAAGTCAGCAACCTTCGCAGCAACAGCATTTCACAGCGAAAGTTTTAATCGACATTATATTTCTTTAATATTATATATTATCCATTGAAGCGCTTGAGAGAAGGCACGCATTCCCTTTGAGTATCAATTCAGGACAAAGCTAGGAATTTCCGATGAAAACTCATACACTTACAAATGTTTCGTCTATAAAAAAAAAGTTTATGATTACGTTGGCCCACATCGAATATGAGTTGATTAATTCTTTTTTTCTTTCTCTTCCTCCCTGCCCCCCTTGCCTGGAATATGAACGAAATGACTTCCATTTGATTTCTGTGAAAATATCATTGTGTTTTTATTACTGAATATTATGATCGTCCATGTTATGTGAGTACCTGTACAACATTTCGTAACGATCTTCAAATGAGATTTATTTCACTCATTTCATGTATCCCAAGAATTTTGCATTTGTGTCAACAAAGCGTCAACGACATTTCGTTCCTTCAACTTCTTCAATGCAAAACTCTAACAATAAACTTTTTAATTTGATAGACTTTTTGAGTGCCAGTTCATGTGAAAATTAAAAACTACAATGATGGCAAAAGTTGATTGCTATTCGTGACTTCTTTGATTTTATTCGTTTCAATTATAGCGCACCACCGTCTTTTATTGGGAAGCATTCGAACCAATTTGCAAAACTTATGGGCACAATTGGATTGAAAAATCACCAATTCAATCTCCATTATGCATCGATAATTCAAAAATCTCATATTCATTTAATGAACTGTTACCTTTTCTTCTACAGTCATTAAAAATTCGTGCGTTATGAACATTAAGTTTTTATCATGGATGCAACATAACAATAAAAACCAAACAATTAAATGCCCAGCTCATTCACACAGTTTCGGCTTGGGAAAATTTTTTGAGCTTTTTTCGATTCTATCCAAAAAGCTCAAACATAATTTGTTACTTAAGTCAAATGAAAGAAACTACTTGCATTATTCACATCTTTTCGCGGCATGAAATAAAGGGAAAACAAAAGACGGTTTTAGATTATTTTCAACGTTGGGTGAGTTGGGATGGTTTTCCCTTTGCTAATATTCGAAGAAACGACATTCTATTTGGGATTTAAATAAACAATGTGGTAAAAATTCTGACTTTGATAAAGAGAGAACGCACACACACACAATAATTAATTAATTTCATTTCAATGTGAGCTTTTTTCTCTTCGGTTACCGAAGATAATGAACAGTGTAATTTATCATTGATTCAATGGAAAACATATTTAGGCACTTAAATTTCACACGTAGCAAAATCGCAACATTTTTCGTCTCATCCCAACGAATTTCGATGTATCATAAAATATGCTATAATCAAAACTAATACCATTAGGGAAAATAGTTGGAAAGATTGACGAAATACTGTGTCTGAATTGAATGGGTAAGAATAATCATGACCTCCCAACATTCTTTAAAAAAATACTGATACAAGACGATGAATTAAAATAAATGAGATACTAACTCGCGTTTAAAATAAATCTGATACTTGAAAGATATTGAAAATAAAAGTGGTATGTATCACTTTTATTTTCAATTCGTTCAAGCATCAAATTTATTTTCAATTCTGGCTAGTATCTCATTTATTTTAACTCATTTGTGCATTATACCGAGTCTCCGAGAGTTTCATATAAGCCTTCCCATGTAGATGGTAAAAAATCGTGAAAAATGAAAAAAATAATTAAATTTTTTTTCTTCGATTTACAAATACTATTCAATTTTCTGTACCATCTGGCAAATGCAAAATACGTACGGACGTACGACAGTGTCATTTCAGCGATCTTCCGTGTTTTTCATACAAGCCGTTCATCAGTTTTGTTTTCAATGTAAGAATTTTTTTTTCAATTTTGCTAGGGATTTTCGGCGAAAAAGTGAAGAGCAAAAAAAAAGTACACTTTTCGCAATAACACTTCACTTTTTTGCTTACCCCTCTCGATTTTTTTCAATTACCCCCCCCTTAAATTTTTCCCTTGAGGACGTATGAGCATCAAACATGCGCGCTGGGGGGGTTTCCGGCTTGACCCCCACCTGAGGCAAATTTTTCAAAATTTACCCCCGGGTAAATTTTTAGGAGATTTACCGGTTTGACCCCCCTGTGAGAATTTTTTTCTCAGATTTTCAATATAATTGTATAAAAAATAGCAAAAATACGCTGATTTTGAAGTCAAACTTGCAAAATTTCGGCTCGCTTCGCTCGCCAACACACATTATTACTTGTTTCTCTCATGCAAAATTGTTATTTTAGTTTTCCATATAAATACCCCCTCGAGACCAAAGTCAATTTGACCCCCCCCCTGATCAAAAAACCGTGCGCATGTGTGAGTAGCATCAAACCAAGTTTAAATTTTTTTTAATTAAAATGAGATTAATCGATTATAGATAGATTTTGGTGGTGAAATAATCATATATATCTCAGTGCATGACATTTTGCGTGAAGTTTCTCTTCAAAAATAGACAGCTTACTAGAGAAAAAAAAATCAATTTCTCTCAATGTACAACCACTTGAAAACGCAATATAACTCATTTTCAGCAAATCAACATAAATTAGGTCAAAAATTGGCCACAAAAAAAGATTCTGTACAAGTGGTGATGTTCATAAAATGTGTGGTCATTGATGCATTCATAACAAGAGCATTAAGTATTTGGGCATATTAAACGGATTGATGCATTTATTATTGATGCAAATTTATTCCGAACAAAAATTACCGATCGAACGACACACTGATATAATTGGCACAAAAGCTGTTGACCGATTTGATTTTGATATTGAATGCATTCGCAAGCTCGCTCACAAAATCGAATAAAATGCATTCGGATTTCAATTTCAATGGAATTGACACGTATGAAAAGATGATACATACATAAATGGTTTTAATTTCATGTCTATTTTTTAAGTGCCCGCTTTAAGTTCATTGATCGAACACGTTGTCTGACTGTAATTGAATTATATGCTAAAATGAGATTGGAATTTTCCTTTAACATAATATGTTGTTTTTTGTTTCATTTTTTTTTTCTATATTGTGCGTGCCAAATGTCATAATGGTTCATCGTCGTCAACTACAATAACCACAAAACATCCTGAAATGTGTGCAGTATCGGATTTTACGCAACAACTAGCGCAATTGTACGAGCACCATGGCGAATCACTTCAAATGCTCGTGTCCACATTTCGAAAACGAAACAGTGAACTGCGGAAAGAAAGGTAAAGAGAATATGAAAACACGTATTAACAAATTATTCATATATTTACACTTAAATTACATTTCTTTGTGCGGTTTGGTAATTTATTATTTCTAATGCTCTTTTTTACAGACCATCATGTCCGTCGACGCTATTTCAAACGTGGGAAACTTTTCTACAAGAAATTGAAGCTGATTCGGTCACGGCAAATGACATCAGCAAAACCTTATCCAGACAGGTGAGAAAATCGATTTTTTGTTTTGTTTTCAAGTGCAACAGCATATATTGCTTAGCACTAAAATCCAACAACCCATCTCCATCTTTAAGCGGTCGGTGCACCAAAAGCAGTTTATGAATTGTTCCTTAACTCTTGTGCCAGTGTAAAATTCTGCTATAGTGCAAGCCACATGTCTGCGTGTCAAGAAAATTGTTTAACGCATTCTTCTGCTGCTTTGAATCGATCATTGTATAGACAACAATCACCGTTTTTTACACGCTCGTAATAAATTATTCCATTTAATCCAGTGGCAGAGGAAACATCACGATTCAACTGACAATAATTGTTCTCCATCTCTCTCTCTCTCTCTCTCTCTCGCACCATCTCGCACTTTCAAGGCAATTGCAAAATAGATTGCGATCTCGAAATGGGATTACATTTTAGTTTTAGATTCGGATTTATGTTTTAAAATAATAAAAGCATTCCACTGAATCACATTGTTGCAGTTTTCATTTTCAATGTGTATTTCATCTGAAAGCTTAAGCAAAAGGATGAAAGAAAGAGAGATAGAGATAGACGAGGGAAGGATTGATGGAGGGATGGAGGTTGATGATCGAAAAAATATTGTTGTTTCAAACACATCCATTATTTATGATATTGAACTATGGCTACTGGGTCGATGGACGTGCTATCATTATTCAATCAAAGTGTTTTATTTTTCATTGAATTGAAGCAGTGAAGTTTCCGGTGCACCACATTCTGATGTCATAAAAGTAACCGAATTTCGATCAGGAAACATTGAGTTCATCTCGAAAAAAATCGAAAATTGTGATATTGTCGGAATTTTTCTGTGTGTATGTTTCAAATTCAATGATTTAAAAAAAAATGTTGGAAAATCCAATTTGCTGTGATAATATTGGCTGCTAGACGCTTTCGGTAAATAAAGTACATAAAATTGAAAATAATACTTGATTGTAAGTGCTTTACAGTACAAAGATTTTGATGCATACACATGCTACAACAATTTCAATAAAGACCAAGCATGAGATGAGAGATGAAGAAAGAGCAAAGCTGGTGGTAAGCGATATATGCTGAATTTCTGAATTGAAAACAATTGGTGGTAATAATGCTATTGTGTCACATCATCTAAAAAGAATTTCCCAAAAACATTAGAATATTTACCTATTGATTCAATGAAGATGAAATTAATATGAAGAAGAAAGAAATGTTTCAAAATATGTTAGCCGGAGACATTTTACAAGTGCAAACAAGCAGTCAAGATTCACTTCATGTGTCTACTTCTATTTCTGCTATTTTAAACTTCACCTCTAACGACCATAATACCGACGCTAAATGAGACATTGTACATCGCATGGAAATGTTAAAAGGTTTTTAACAATTCAGCGATGTATTGTTTCGAGTCGATGGCAAAACCAGGAAAGAAGCACAACACACAGAGAGACATAGCTAATGCCAGTGGCCACGTTCACTCGAAAATGGAAAAAGTTGAATGTTGTTGGTTTTGTTGTTGCTATTGTTTTTGTGTCAACATCTACAGTTTGTCATATACGTATATTTAGAAAAAAAGCAAAGATGTTGCATCGTCTGAATGGGAAAATTGTTGCACTGTGTATGAGTTTCGTCAGAAAAGAGCACTTTGCACATGCCCGCATATTCTGACATACACACTATCGAGATGAAAATTGTTGCCAGAGAACAAGTGCAATTAAAATATGTACTCAAACATCAATGTAAAGTGTTTTTACTGCACACAATGCACAATGGCATGAGATAGCATATCAATGAATGGTATTGAAATTTTGCGCATTCACAATTTTCCATTCAATGGAGAGATATAAACGGGAAAAAAATGAATCCAGATATCCAGTGTTTGTTTATTCGATGCCAATTTTCTGTATGTTACTCTTGCCACTTTGATTCATATACAAAGTATATTAAATATACACCAAAAGAGAAAACGAGAGAAAGATAGATAGAGAGAGAGAGAGAGAGAGAGAGAGAGAGAGAGATTGAAAAAGAACTTTCTTCTTCGCATCGGTAGGATATATAAAGCTGCCTGTTTTACCTCAATATAATAGCAAATAATTCTGGTTTTAATTTAAATGTGACTTGGTTTATGGTGTGGTCTGTTTATAATTATGCGCTGACATTGGTCGGGATATGAATTGCAGCTCGGAACTATGGTCATTATATATTTTTTTCTTTGTTTTCATATTGAAAATGACCGAATACCAAAAAGCTTCAACAATCATTGTGAATGCCTAAAATCTGATACTGAGAAGTTTGTTTGTTTGATGAACATTTCTACATACTCAGCAAAATGCGAAATGTTAAAGAGCAAAAAAAGAATAGACGACAACACACACACACATACATGTTGAAGACGCGACAAATTCAGTTGACAACTTTAATAATTAGATTAAATTTTCCAGCAAAATTGAGAATGAAAAATGACATTTCAAATTGAAATGAAAATTCATATTTTATCTCATTTTCCATATAATACATAAACAGTTACCGTATTTACCGTCGTTAAATTAGTGAGCATAAAATGTGAGTCAATTATTCATGAATAGTTTCACTTTTGAATGAAAATAAGTGAAAGCTTATCTCACACGATAAAAACTATTAACTGTATTCACAGTACACAGAAACATATTGGAGTACGCTTACTCGCACTTGCGGTGTTAGCAGAGAGTCTACCCCTCAAAATGAGCTACGAACTCCATTTTACTCTATTTTTTGTGTTAATTTCATCCAAGCGAACACATCATAGTGAAAGAAGAAATATATGTGTACGTTGAACGCATGCGGCTATGGATGAAATTAACACCAAAAATAGAGTAAAGTAGAGTGCGTAACTCATTTTGAAGTGTAGACTCTCTGCTAACACCGCAAGTGCGAGTAACCGTACTCGAATATTTGTTTCTGTGTAATGCATATAATTTTCAATGTTTATGATTATTATCAAAGTCCATTTGATGTTTTTTTCTCCCGTACAGCACTCGTGAATTGACACTAATTGAGCTCGCATTACATTTCAATAGTTGCTTGGTATACTCTCCATTTTCTTTAAAACTGATTACGCTTTTACTCGTTTCTATTAGTTTGAAAACAATTTTTGGTATGTTTTGTGTTTATGGCCCAGAACCATTTATTATGGATTTTATTATGAGCAATTTCCGTCTGTGTATACAACTTTGGACTGTGCTCCAATTGAAATAATACCAGACATTGCGGTTCAACTGTTTGGAATGGTTAAGGTAAAAAAAACAGTGAATTTCTCTCATCACATGTTCAATGCATTCCGACAGTTGAAAGCTATACGAACCATAGCACAGACAGAGAGGGAGAGAGAAGGAGAGAGGAGGAGAGAGGAAGCATCTATGGTTGCAAAAATATTGTCGGAGTATGTCGGATTACGGAAATGGTAAATATCATTACATTTCTGGCATTTCCGGTACAATAAAGACGAGAATCACACGCAAAGCCGCATCGTGTGAAATATTACGTGCCGGTATTTGATTCTCGTTCATTATTTTCCATTCGATTCTTGTTCTCCTGCCCTTGCTTCTGCCACTTTCATTAATTGATTGGAATTGCATTTAATTCGGATCTTTTTAAATTAATGTTCGTTGCGGCCCCATACTGACAATCATCATTTTTCCCACTTTGTTTTATCATAAAATGGTGATGTATCGTGTGCTCCGTAGATTGATTATGCGGAAATTGATGACGGTGTGTCTGCTGCACATTACGATTTTTAAGTGGAAAAATAATAGGGCTAAATTGTTTAATGACTATACGGAATTCTGATGTTTGCAATTCAATTTTGTAAAACCAGAAAACACATCCAGTGTATGTACATTTCAATTCAAATGAACAATCCAACATTAAATAAGAACTAAGTCTGACGCTTACTACGTGAAAAATTATAATGTAAATTTCAATTCACGTGGTGAACTCACTCCCGATGTTGTCACTGTGTCTTTTTTTTGTTAAATCGGTTTTTTATCTCACATTTCATATGGTAAATGTGAATATTGTGATTGCTTTGCCTCGACTGGACCAATTTTTTTTCCCAATATAATCCTATAAAATTGATTCGCGTATGGATGTGTAAATAGTCAGTCATTGTGACGCATTTTCTAGAAAATTTACACATTTGTTTTGGCTTTCACTTCAAATTGTTTTCATATACAGATTTTCTTCGGCATAGTGCACAGAGAGAAAATATGCGGTACATTTGATTTATGTCATTTTCGGCGATTTAGAATTTTGGTATTTTTTAATTAAATTTTGGTAGAAACGAGACTATTTGTTGAATTCATTTTACCAACTGCTTCATTACATTCACCAAATGCATGAACTAGCGCCATCTGTGGTTTCGATCAATGTAAAGAAGCAGTTTATAAAATTTATTCAACAAATAGTCTATTTTGAAAAACATGCCTCATGGATCTCAAAAATGGTGAATCTAATTCGTTGTTGATTGATTTTATATTAAATCTACCAAAATTTAATTAAATATACCGCATGTTTTTCTCTCTGTGCGATGTATATACGCAACAACATAGCTTGATCCCAAGAAAAAAGATGCTTAAAATGCGAATCAAACGACACATCATCTACATTTCTTGGCATTTTTTTTGTGCCAACGCACGACGCTTGAGCACATAATAGCTACAATACTACAATCGATTTTTATTTACCGATTGTACTACGTGTTGCAATTGTCAAATCGATTCATTTGTAGTTCAAATATACAAAGCATGTAGTATCACTCACACACGAGAAAATCTAGCAAATGAGAATATGTAACGAAAAAAAAGACTGCATACTGGCAACAAAAAACAAAGATCGAGAGGTAGTATTATTTTTTCATATATGAATTTCAATTGCAAAAGTTTGCCGTATATGTAGCTTTGTTCAATGTGGGAATTATTCGATTTCATACACAGAATACTCGTTGAATCCATAACATTTGAATTGAATATGTCAAAAAAGGAATATTAAGGCCCAAAGAAGAAAAAAACAACGAAACACAACATGACACGTTTTCCGAAGCTTCAATTCAATGGAAACATATGTGTTAGCAAAAAATCAAAATAATCGCTTCTGAAAAAAATAAAAACCGGATTGAATGAAAAACACACAGAAGTTGGATGAAAAAAAAAATCATCCCCAAAAAAGAAACACGACATATTCGTATAATATTTGATCGATGAACAGGAATTAATATGGATGCGTTCTGTTATGTCTACATTTATTATTTTTATTCTTTTTATTTTAGGTATCCGAACCGATATTGGCAAAAACATTTCATCGAAAAGTTCAAAGCAAAAAGGTTTTCATCCACCGAGAATCATTTGATGCGATTCTTGCAAAGACTGACGAAAAATTGGCACAGGTATGTATGCATCCCCTTCCAAAATAAACAAACAAAAACAAAAAAACAACAACAACAACACCCTTAAACATAAAAAATTTATATGTAGATATGAATTGGTGTAAATTAATGGTAATGGTGATATGGTGTTGCAGATGTCGAGTTTCGGGTCAATGAAATTTATCAAGAGAATGTGCCAAAAAGGACAACTGCCTCATATTTCAATCGTCTGACTTTTCAATTTTGACAGTGTGCACACCAAAAATACAAGGGTATCAACACAAGTGCGCCCGGACACCCCCACAAAAAAAATATATTTTTGAATACATTCCGTTTACAAATCATTCGGGGATATTATTATTATTAAGTGAATCACAACACCAACGTCCAGATTATACGATTAAAATATGTGCATTTGTCTCGTATTCGGGACCTTTGTATGTCTCTCTTTTTCTGTTGGAATGTTCGTTGTTTTGTGTTCAGAGAGAAAATCAAGAGATAAAAAAAAGTTTGGAAATTTATTATTATCCGAAAGTTGTTTGGTTGAAAACGCAGCAAAACTGAATCTATTTAGAGAAAAGAAGTAGAAAAAGAGAGACACCGAAGCTATTAAGCGAAAACAAGCCGTTGACAAAACAAAACAACGACAACAATAATAAAATACACAGTGTATCCTTCAATTTGATGAAAAATTGTAACCCAAAACAAAAATACAAATAAAAAAATCCAATGTGTTCCAATTTAATACTTTATATGTGGTACTGTGCAAATATAAAGTATTAGTTAGTTTAGATACCCCAAGCAGCTACTATGTTGTTCTGAACCATATTGTTGTTGTTGTTCGAATCGAAGTTCATTCGTATTGGATCGTGTTCAGTTTATTTGTCTTGGAAAAGTTGATTTTTTTTTTGCTCTTCTCGCTCACGTTCTTCTATTCACATTGGTTTGTAGTTGCATGGCCAAATCGAAATTTGATATTGCAATTCGTGCAGAAAAGTAGCAATTTTCATTTAAACTCCACCAAAGATCGAGACCAGTTAAAATATACAGTCCAATTACTTAAATGGCAAAAGAAAAAGATTCGTGTGCAACAATTTAAGAAACGGCACACTGGTCTCCATTTTCATCGCAGAATGGTGAAAGTTTCTCGAAACATTTCCAACTTTTTAGTGGCGGCAAAAAAAAAGAGGTATTGTTTACGGTATCACAAACAAATTTTTAAAGACGAATCAGCAAACGATGCTTTTGAGCGAATGAAACTGAATGCAGTAAGCAATCATCGCAAAAAAAAAATGCAAGTCGATTAATTTGCATGCCCCAAATGAGAATATGTACGGGTATGGTGGCCAAACAACACATTTTCTCTATGTATTTTGTGTTTGTTAAAAGGGAAATCAAGTCAAGGAGAACAGAAAAATGGGAAGAAGAAGAAATGTTTTTACTCAAGCCAAATGAAATGGCTAGTCATCAAGTACTTCGTCATCATAATAAATTATTTCTCAACACTCCCGCATTCTTGTACACGCATCTTTATTCAAACTAATTATCAATTCCATTAGTAACGAGACGATATGCAAACCATGTTCAAATTCGCTGCTTTTCGCACTTTTCTTGTTGTGCGTGGCGTAAAGGTCCATCTCTTTCGATCAATACATTTTATTACAATGCTTTTGCGTAAATTTCGTACAAACAGCAACATTTTAAATTCCCAAGTGTATAAAAGTGAGTAAAACGAGCGAGAAAAAAAAATATATTGGCCAACACTATATGCGCCTGCATACGGGTGCGTACTTTCCATTAGTCCCTTTTATTTTCAATGTGTTTTATTTTGAACGTTTCGAATATTCATTGAACTCACCATGGCATTGATATAAAAATACAAGCAAATGTCCATTGACAGTTTATTGCCAATTTCTCGAAACCCTTTGAGCACTATCACCTCTTTTATGAGTATTGCAACATGCGGTGAATTCGTTTATTTTTTTTAAAGGAGTATAATTTATTGGCGACAGGTTGAATATAGCCATATTGAGGGCGAATGATATTCACAATTGCGAACATATATTCTAATTACTGTCACTATTTATGTGATGGCGCCCACCTTCTATCCACAGAAATTCGAATTCCATTTCTAAATTCAGCTCGATAGCTTTCTTCACATCTTTGGAGTTGTTTTAATGCTGTTTGGTTTATCACTTCAACGCGTCGAGCTTGAACGCATTTTCATTACACAACTTTTACCGTGCGGTTGATTTTTTTCTTCTGTTTTAGTTTCGAATTCGATCCTCTTGACAAACAAAAATAGAGAGAGAGAGAGAGGGGGGGGACGTGAGAAGGCATCGACAGAGAGACAAACGTCATGCCCATGTTGTACTCGACTCGGCTGTTATCTGTCTGGATAAAATGAGAAAACTTGCCATATTAACTTGTTATTTCATTTGCTATTTGTCAACGAAAATTATTTGACTGTCTGTGTACACTGTACACATATTGTGTTCTATGTGTCTGTTCGCTCTCTTCCGTTCGTCCTTTCCCACACCATATATTCTACAGAAAACATTTTATTCTGTATAAGCATCAAATAGCACAAATCGTTTGATTGTGTGTGCACAATTGTTATCGTTCCAGTTCGTGTGCGGTACATATTGCAAATATTTTATCCCTTTTTAATACGCCATTTCTGCAATGTCTAGCACAACAAAAATGCCAAATATTTGCTATACATTTTGTCATCGATCAAACTTTTTATTATTTTTGTCGACCACACAACTTGCCTATATCTATTGGAATTTATCTTCTTTTTTTTTTTGTTATTTTCATTACTTCATACCAAAATCAAATTACATACGCCATTCGAATTTATTTATCTCTTCATGACAATCATTGTATTCGCCAGTCAAGCAATCAAGCACAAAAATTAATTTCTAATGGAATTTCATATTTTCCATTTTAAAACCATTCAATTCTTGTCTTCGTTTTTTTTGGATACAACATGATTTGTTTCTTCTTTAAGCTATGAAAAAAATTGTTGAATTGAAGAAGAAAGAATGCAAAGAATGTATAATGTGTCATCATAAATTCTTCAAAATCATCTTTGAAGAGAGAGAGAGAGAGAGAGAGAGAGAGAGAGAAGTGTCCAAAGCTGCTAAAAGAAACCTTTAGTGACAATGTTGTCTTCGTCATCAGAGCGAATGCCTGTGAAAAATCGTAATGATTCCTTGTCGAGTTTGAGTAATTTACTGAAGTGAACTGGTCGTTTTTTCTCTTTTCTCTTATGTGACATTAACCATATTTCTAAATGTTGCTGTTTGTTTGCTTTGGCTCTTTTACGAAAAATGGTTTGTTGTCGTCAATTGTGCACGTTGAACATGCTATAGCCGCAATCATTCTACACTGTTATTTTTTCACACCCTGTTTGTGCTTTATTTTGGTTGAAAACACTTTTATTGTTTTCTTTTTGTGTTTTTGAACAGCGACCACATGTCAAACGAGATGCATTTGTGCGATGCTAAAAAATAAAGAGCAAAAGAGAGTGAAAAAAAAAGAGACAATGTTGCAAAACTAAACGAAAACCTCTCAAAACTTATAAATAAAACGTGGAAAATTCAACGTTCGTCAGCGTCAATTTGGTTAATCGATAAAACGTCTGCTAAAGTGAAATTTGTATTTGGTTCTTTATTTCAAATGTTCTCGTTCATTCGAAACAGAAGATGTGAAAAAATGGACTTGCAAAGCATAAACGCGCGGGAATTCGGTGCGTTTAATTTGGTCTTTTGCTTAATCACCCGCGTTTTTGTGATGAGATTGATGTGGTAGAATGGGTATATACTGGTGTTGAAGAGAGAAACACGTGATTTACACGCGTCAATTCACGATCAAAATGTAATTTATGTGAATCGTGTAACTCTCATGCGCGCATTCAACAGAAAGAAAAAAACCAAGTTTACCAAAGTTTGAAATCTCTTCAAACTGTCGGTTACTGTACACGTACACCAACGTTCGATACCCACTCCCAATGGGATATTGAGATTCCAATTTTTACACCGTTTACACATTACATCTTTTGCAAATGAATTATGACCAAAGAAAAACTTCTTTTCTCATTTTCCATTTGCCGAATGAAGAGTGAAGACAAGAACTTTCGACTTTTTATTCCATTATCAATGATGAGCGTATATCCTGTACGGAACAAAACCGCCACCATTTAAAGAAACGCAAAACAATCAAAAAGTGTATAGCTAACCGGATAAGCATACAAAAACCATACAAAAAGAGAATATACTGAACGAGCGAAAAGGAAGGGAAGTTGTTGTGGAAGCGTATAAGAAATCAAAGCGAGAAAATTATCATATACTCTAGATAACGAGGGCGCGTTCGTTCGCACATTCATTAAATTCTTTGAGCATCATCTGACAAATACATTGAATACTTGGGTCGATGATATCATTGAGAGAACGGATGGCTAGAATATCGCCGAGAAACGTTTAAATGGTAATTGGAACTTCTGATCGAAACAATGCAATCAAGCTCGAACTTTTTCTCATTTACTCAATAAAAATATTATTAAAATGAGAATCGAAATTCGATCGAATTCGATGCATTTATGGTAATCGATTGAATTCACTGCGAATATTTTTTTTTGTTTACATCCCATTCCACAAATCGCTTTTGCTCACATACATCATAACATTTGATTGATTACGACTAAAAAATCATAATCCCATTGTCATTTCATTTGGAAAAGTGAAAATAACCCCACCGGAATTCGATTTTTTCTCTTTTGTTTGATTGAAAATCTCTCTCTATCTCTGAGGACATCGTAATACATTTCAAACTTTTAAAATCCTATTAAACATCACAGTATAAGTTATGCGTCAGTTTCAATTACATTGTGAACAAGTTTTGTAAAATAGGATAAAGTGGCTGTCTCTCGAAAAGTTTCGAAAATTGATTTGAAAGCTGAAAGAGCTAGAGAATGAAATAAAAAAAAGAATTACATTACAATAGTTTTGATGGCAATGAGATGAAAATTGAAATATATAGCAAAAGTGTACAAGAGTTTGTATCACGTTGGAGATGGTTTTTTTTATTTACCATATTGGTTCATACAATAATAGATCGCAACATTTTTTGATTTTTTTTTTTTATGACGGGACCAGAGAAAAACTCGAATATATTCTAAATAGCGATATTACAATGGAACATGGCGAAAATCTTGCAACACCACCGCCATTGTTATTTTGAATTTGGGCCAAAAATGTATTCCAAAAGTGGAATTTCCATTTAAGAGCTATTATTAGATCAATTTTAATGAAACCATGCATTAATCTTCATTTGTTCTTAATATATCACGTGAACAAAATAGTGGGAGGGAGAGATATCACATATTCATTCAAATTTACATGCACACAATACTTAAAACATATTTTTTTCTATATATATTTGTAGTGTCGCATGGAGTATAAGCATTGTTATATTGCCCATCGTCAGCAGCCGAGTCAGCAGACGCTAACGAATTACATCGATTCGCATAATGCATATGTCCAACAGCTGCATACGACGAATTCAATGCTAGAATGGTATAACATCGAAACGATACCACAGTTAATGCAGGAACTTGAGGACATTTACAGTGATTTGTGCGGCATTGTGTCCGAGGCGATTTTCAATGGTGCTGACATCATTTCAGCAAAGGTAAAAGGAATTCTACTGTTTATATCAATTTGGTTGATTTTGAAGCGATTTGACTGATGGACTGGGGTGTTACGGATTTTTTTTTTCATTTTGAAAATGGCTGAAAACAACTGAATGGCTTACCATTGTTTGAATGGTTCAAGGATGTGTGATAATTTGGTGTGATAGTGATATTGAAATTCAACTTAATAACCGAATATGTAATTTGGTAATAAAATTTTAATATTGACCTCACCCGCATACAATATACGTGCTACCGTTTTCTCGTTTCAATTTAAATAAGAATAAATAAAATCCCCGTCCAGCTTAATATATGGTATTTTAATTGAATGTGTATATGTTTTGTTTTTGATGACATTTTCAGGCCAATGATCAATTAAAACGTTATGATAATCTGACGAATCAGTGTAAAACCATATCACCACAACAGGATTTGAATAGCTTTGTGAAAATATTACAGCCCGAATCACCGCCAAAAGTTCCTAAAAAGTCATATGCAGCACCAACTAATGAAGTTGATGAGGTAGGCTTTCTACACCCCCAATCACCTTCATTGTTTCCGAACCTTAAATTTCATTTAATTAACTTGACGTGGATTTATCGTTTTGCCGTGAATGAATATTCTTTGCCCGGTAATATTTAATAATCGATGGTGAAATGACAACAAAATGAGATCGACACCACATTGTGCTAACACTGATTGAAATGAAAGAAAATACAATAAAAAATACAAAATGATAAATGACCAACGGCAAAGAGTTTTCGGAAATTTTCAAAGAAATTCCTTTTTCATCGTATTAAAAATGTTTGTTCTTTTTTTATGTTTAATATATTTAGGACCAGTCACCTATACCATTTAGAAATGAGCTTATTGTAGACCGAAATGCAACAATTCAAATCCGTCCGTCAGTTGACGCACTTAAAAGGGAAACCATTGAAATCGAAACACAAATCAAACAGCTGCAGGTGAAAAGAAAATCAATTTTATTTTACCTCTATCACGTTGTGCACCTTCTTTTTTTCAAAATTTGAGCGGCTCACATGCTCATTGCTTTTGTGTATGTGTGTCTCTGTGTAAAAATAAGCAAGCGGTAAAAAGGAATCGTGAATTTTCAATTATAAAAAAATCGATATTTAATTTTTGATTTCCTATTCGCTTGTCTTTCCATTTTACATTTTTATTCCCTTTCATTTTACTTCGTCTCTGAAATGTTGAATTCTTTTTCTTCCTGCCTCTACTACTGCAAATTAACATAAACACACACAAACACACACCAGGAATCGTTGGAATCTTTAATTCGAGCACAAATTCGTGTACTTGAAAGTCAACTGTTCAACAAATCAAGTGAACTGCAGGAGGATATTTCAATGAAGAAATTCGATTTGCAGACAAAACGATTGCATTTGGCAGCAATACGGGCTCAGGTAAGCAAAACGAACACACACAAATAATATCGAAAATGTTCACTACATTTTTATTTCTTATTTCGTACTATAAAAAAAACTACAACTACCATATTAAACACGTATTCAAAATGTTGGCCATCGTTTTTGAGTCAACATTTCGCGCTCAAAAACATAGAGCCTAGGGGGTAGACACGTGGAATAGGATTAGACTTTTTAGTGTAAAAATTCGAGAAATTAAAGTGGAATAGAGAATTCAGTAGCTGGATTCACATGGATTCACTAATCCTGTGTATGGAATAGCGAAAATGGGTTAATTCAAAGTTTTTGTAATCGATAGTACAGAATTTGATAAAAGCATTGAACTTGTTTTGAGATAGTAATTTGTTCTTTTTTGAAATATTTTTTAGTTCAAAAGTCGATTACAAATTTACAAAACAATAGATACACTTTCTCAAAATTTTATTGATGAAAAAAATAATTTTAATTATCAATAACAAAATGTCATACTCCAGTATCGATAAATAAGTTTTCAACAAAGTGAATAGCGGCGAAATGTGAGATCACATTTGACAATGAAATGACGGATTGGTGGAATAGTAGGATTAGTGTTTTTATATTGGAATCATGGTTTAATCGTTTGTGTCTCCCCCCTAGCATAGAGCGCTGTTGTGGTACTTCCTTATCATTGCCAATTTTGCCATTTTGTGTAAATCAGAATCAGAGGTAAAAATAGAGTAAAAAATCCATTTTGTACTTTGCAACAGACAAAATGAACGCGTTGGGAATGCCGTGGATTTTTAAAGGCTTTCTTTTATTCATGTTGTAGTATAGGTTCAAAGGTCGTTTGACGTCTTATTCTCTTGATACAATGCTATAGCTACAAATAACCTAAATTGATTTTCAGCGTCTTCTGTTTTCTGAACTACATCCATGTGAATATCATTAAATCCAAAAATATGCACACACACACACAATTGCTCATACACATTGAATCGTACCGGGAACAAAATCACCGAAAAATGGGCTTACACATAAAAGTACTATAAGACAAAATACAATCAAGACTCAATTACATGAGTAAAAGCTTTTCCATATAGAGCATCAACGCTAAAAAGTCGAGTCATTCCATTTTCTGCTCTCTATTCATTCTATTATTGAATACATTTCACTCTCTCGCTTTCTTCCTTCATAATGACACATGATAAAAAAAAAGAGTGAACAATATGTTACCATCGCTGTAAGCCTTCACATTTTTCCGATTTATTTTTATGAATAATATATGGTTTTAAAGCATCAAAATCCATTTTCTTTTTGAAATTTAAGTTGAACTACGGTTATAGCGTACTACTAAACAACTATTCGATAATTTCGGATAAACATTTCGTTGGATGATCAAAATTTCAATTCGATTTTTTTTTCCATTTCGATTAGATTCGGTTCGAAAATTGTTCCGGATGAATGAAAATGTGATAAGTAAGCAGTAAATAATCTGAATTTGTCACTTTTTCGCTTTTATTTTCCCATTCAAAAAAGTAACCAGAAAAATAGCATAAATCTGTCCGAATTGTTAAGTTCGTCGAAAATGACACATATGGTTTGAATTATTCAAAAACACTCATCCCCATTTGAAATGGAAAGCGAAGCCGGCCTAATCTCTTGTGCTGATGTGTTTATTACAAAAAGGAACAAAGAAATGATGGCTAGTCTGCAGCTATTGTTTTCACATGTTAATGGCTTTTCCATCACAGAAAATTCGATGTTTTTTCATGCTTTATATATTTCATGAGAAGTAGCAGTATTCGCGCATATTTTATTGGTATTGGACTCTATTCGACAGTTCCATGGAATAATCTATGCAAAGATACAACTGATTTGTAAGTTTTGCTGATAAACTTGATAAAGGTCTTCTTCTAAATCACGGCGACGAGGTCGAAGTCTTTATATTTAACGTTTTTGCCCCCGAAGTATGCATTCGATGCTTTTTTTTCTACCCGATATGGATCCTTCGAACGAAGAATCATTAGGACTTATGTATTTCGTACACATTCTTTGGTTTCACTTTCGCACAAGCAACGATCAGTAGTTTTTTGTGTAATTTCACACGCTCATAATACATCGAAAGCTCACTAGTTCGCTTTAATCCACCATACTCACATAAATGGTCATAATTATAGCACGTATAATCCATACCACAAATGTGTCAATATTGCTGAAATATAAACCACATTTACAAATAGGTTTATACAGTAGTGCGCGAGGTCAAATTTCTAGACCTCACTTTTTTCGTCAAAAACCCTAGCAAATCGAAGTCAAATCCCCCTTCACACACTACTCGTTTATACATAAAAACATAGATCGAAATGAGGACATCGAAATAAAGCGTCGATCACTTTTCGCGATTGTTGATTCAATGGTTATTATGACATAACGAGATATTGACTTTTCTCAGTTTGCTAAGTGCATACGGGATCACAATATAACGGAAGCAATAAAAATAATCGTTGATTCGTCATTAAACGACATCAATATCAAACGCTATTAAAGCATGTACCATAACAAATGCATTTTCCAAGAGACGAAAGCAGCTTGAGTGTTAGACAGTGAAATCGAGTGAATATGAGAGCTTTTTAAAAACGAAATAAGGCCACTCTGTAAGCTTAATTTCTTTTGAATTTTTCAATTTTTGAATTCAGGCTAAAGTAATCAACATTGAAAATGCTCGCACAAATAACGCACCATGACTACATAAAAAGCCTCGAATTTCGAAAACAAAAAGAGAAATCATCAAACATTCATATTTTCCATGCTCAAAACATCACATTGACACGATTATTATGTTGAATAGGCATACAGGCTGTCAAGCATAAATACATCTCCAGATTCGAGAGTAACGAGAATGAAGAGCTAAAGTAAACAACAACAAAACAAATCAAATTGCACTGTGTGTGGAGCAAACTGTTTAAATTGGAAATGAATCTTGCGATGCGCGCGAAAATGAGACAGCATCATACATAAAAGCATATACATTTGACTCAACCGTCATGATGCGCTGGCGCAAAAACCTGTTTTCAATACAAAAATTTGCTCTATTTTATCGGTATGGCAATGTGCTTCAGTGGAGCGTGCTTGCTATAACAACGTTTGAAATTCAACGAATTTCAAAGGAAAGCTTAATAAGTTTGACCGAGTAAAAGTATAGTAGCTTTTGCTTCGAGCACAGTGAAAAAAAGCATGCTAATAATCTCTCTAATACGTACTCGGCAAACGTGTATATATATATGTGTGTGTGTGTGTGTGTTTGTCGTTGTGAATGTGAATGGTATGTTGTAGGAGTAAAGTATTTTGTGCGGCAGAACTTCTCCATTTAAATCGGTTGTGACAGTGCGTGCACATGCTCTTGTAGCAATTGTTGCTGTAACACTGTTACTCCTCATGCCCAATGTAGATATACGCAGACAAATACACAATTATATGCCAATGTGATGGCACACATTGCCAATGAAATCAGCTGAAATTTTTTAGCAACGTGTGCCTGTACATGCTGGTTATATGCCCCTCTCTGTGTGTTAAAATGAGCAATCTGTATATAGCAAATCATATTGTTGACTCACTTCATCCACAATATGAGACATATTTTCATTTCTGACACACTGGCCAAAACATTTCACCAACGACAACAATAATCGCAACAACGACGAATCAAAACGAGAGAGCGAGAGCAAAATATAGTGAAAAAGCGTACACAGCTCTGTAGCATTTATTATCATCATGATGATCCAAATATTGCACGGTTTCACATCCACAATATAGCATTTCGAAATCAGTCGCTACACAATCCAGTTAAAGTCATACGATTACTATCAACGACAAAAAGATAGCGAAAAAAAAGTTAAAACGAGTGTTTGAGTCTCCGATCGAATGAACGAAATTCACAAATAAAATTCAAGTACATTTGTGCGTGTGTGTTTGCATACAATGTATGTTCTATAAAACAAATCAATTATTATGTGTTTGTGTAAGATAAATTTGCGGTAAAAATATATAAATGTTTCATTGTTCAAACAAAAAAATCGATACACATTCTTTTCACATTAACGGGTGTTAGATAGTAAATAAAACTGACAATTCTCTATGTCTCTAGTAGCTAGTCGCGACTGACACTTCAACGCCGAAACAATAAATCATACGTTTGCCTATCTGACTTGCTAGCGTATGTGGATGTGAGTGTCATTGTGTAAATGTTATTAAAACGAGCAAATGAAATGCACACAAATGAATAAAAATAAATAAAAACTATGCCTGTGATGTTAGGTTCTTTTTTATCAGATTCGTTTTGATGGTATTCAACTGTTTATACTGGTGCCAAACATAAAACATATTGTTGCTGCTCCCCATCCCTCCGAACAATACGCTTTTATTAAATTTGAATATTTGAATTTGTCCGTTACAAGACGAATCGAATGAAAAACATATGCCAAACAATTGTCACAAAATAAAAGAAGAAAATTGAGATTACACGACAAAAATCAGTGTAACATTGTGATACAATTACTTATTGCTTTTGTTGTTGTTCCGTGAATCGAATTAAAAAGGAAGAAAAGAAAGCACTCGACTCAGAATTTCCGTAAATTCGATAATCCATGCGGATTGGTACAGTTCCCATGCACAAATGTTGCATCGAAAGATCTCGAACCATGAAACAATAATAATGAAAGCAGTAAAAAGTTAAAGCCATTTGAATTTGCATACAAATCTGAATTTTAAAACGGACGATTTGCAGTAATATCACGGCGCACACGAAAAATTATTACAAAAAAGAAACGAAAGAAAGGAAAATAAAAACACACTGATGGCAGTTTACGATCGGCAGATTTATTGGTTTTCGTATTAAAAAAAAAGAAATCACTCGAACTCAATTTAAATTATTTACGGAAGTGGAAAAAAAAAATACAATCGAGAGCAAAAAAATCCGTTGCACCTAACAACGGTGATGTGTACGCATACCACAACGGATTGAA